AGGACTCCAGAAATCACCTCTGCAGCTCAGGCTCTCTCAGGTCCACAGCAAAAGTGGGTGGGAAAAAAGTCAACACTATATTGTGAAATCTGATTTCTTCTGCTCAATTGTCTACAGCATTCAGGAAGGAAGCAGGGAAGGGCCTTTTTAGGAAATGACCAAAGATCTCTGATGAGGAGAGATCAAGGGAGGAAAGCAGAGCTCCTGAGTTCAGTGTCTGACATCAAAACCCAGGGTCACCAACACTTGATGAAAGGCACATGCCAGCAGCCAGCGGCGGGACCTTCCAGTGTGTTCCTTGTAGCCAGCCTTCCTTCCTTCCTTCCTTCCTTCCTTCCTTCCCTCCCTCCCTCCCTCTCTCCCTCCTTTTGAAATGGAGCCATAAGTCACCTGCAGCCCTGGAAGGCTCTGGGCAGAGAGGGGCTAACAGGGAATCCAGGCACCTTCCCAGGAGGCCTCCTCTGGCAACTCCTTTCTCCTCCCAGAGTCATCTCAGGGAAGAAGTACAAGCTTCCGGAAAGTATGAGGAAATGGTTCTTAAAGTTTTCAAACCAATATGACTGAGATTTTATGGAACTTTATTTTCTAATACAGAAATTGTAACTTTTTTTCATTGTCAAAATATAGCACTGTGGTATTAGATGTCTTTTTCTAACTTACATCTACCTCCCCCGACCCTGCATCCCAAAACGTCCTCCAACTCCACTTGTGTGGCAGGGGTTTGGGGTAGGAGCAGCCACTAGAAAGGCAAAGGAGCCGGTGGGGAGCCACGCTGATGCCACAGCTCAACCAGAAAGGCACACGCCTGTGGCCAGCAGTGGAACACTCCAGTGTGTTCCTCGTAGACTGCCTGCCTGCCTGCCTTCTCTCCCTCCCTCCTTCCCTCCCTTCCTCCCTCTCCTTCCTTCCCTCCCTTCCTCCTTGTTTCCCTCCTTCCCTCCTTTCTTTCCTTCCTTCCACTCTTTCTCCCCTTCCTTCCTCCATACCTTTTCTCTTTCTTTCTTTCCTTTTCTTTCTTTTCCTCTTTTTCCTTCTCTCACCCTCTCTCTTTCTCTCTCTTCCTCTCTCTTCCTTGAGATTGAGTCTGTCACCCAGGCTAGAGTGCACTGGCACGATCTCAACTCACAGCAACCTCTACCTTCTGGGTTCAAGTGACTCTCACACCTCAGCCTCCCAAGTAGCAGAGATTACAGACACATGCCACCACACCCAACTAATCTTTGTAATTATTTTTAGTAGAGATGAGGTTTTGCCGTACTGACCAGGCTGGTCTCGAACTCCTGACCTCAAGTAATCTGCCTGCCTCAGCTTCCCAAACTGCTGGGGTTACAGGTGTGAGTTACCACACCCATCCCCTTGTAGTATTTCTTTATGTAGCTTATGTGAATTTAATTTAGACTGATTTTCATGAAGCTACTTTACAAAGGCAATACATATAGTTGGTTGTAATATCTACATTAGATAGGAGACATTTTACCTGCTTCCGTTCATATGGTGATACGGTGTGGCTGTGTCTCCACTCAAATCCCATCTGGAATTCCAGCTCCCATAATTCCCACCTGTTGTGAGAGGGAGGCAGTGGAAGATAACTGAATCATGGAGGTGGTTTCCCCACACTGTTCTCGTGGTAGTAAATAAGTCTCATGAGAGCTGATGGTTTTATAATGGGTTTCTCCTTTCGCTTGACTCTCATTCTCTCTTGTCTGCCACCACATAAGATGTGCCTTTTGCCTCCCACCATGACTGTGAGGCCTTCCCACCCATGTGGAACTGTGAGTCTATTAAACCTCTTTTTCTTTATAAATTATCCAGCCTCAGGCATGTCTTTATCAGCAATGTGAAAACAGACTAATACACATGGAGACCCAGCAAGCATTTCCTAAATCAAAGCACCCCTAATGCATGGTGAGGGCCATAGGGAATGGTCATAAACAGAGCCTACCTAGTCCTGTGACTGGCATTACCTGGGAAGATTAGACCACAATCTGCCCCAAGGACATGCCCTCCCAATCCCATAGAACTGGAACAGAACCTGGGTGCTCAAGGACCCAGAGCCATTTGCTGGGAGCCCATCCTGTACAGCATCCATCAGCCGCCCACTAAGAATGGGTGCCTTGAGTCCCGGGCAGTGAAGATTACCCAGGTTCACAGGTGCTGCAGCCCGCCTGTCTGCACATTGTCAAGAATGCCTATTAGAAGGGTTTGCTGCCTAGAAAATCTGAAGATGGTTTTTGTTTGGGTGGGAAGGAAAGTTCAAAAAGATGAGGCAACTCCATTAAACGGAATTAGCAGGCACTAAAGCACCCTCCCGGAAGCACCTCAGTGGCTGTGGTCACGTTAGGATTTTCCTGCCAGGAAAGAAATTATTCTTCCCAACTGTGTCTTATCTGATGCTGAAAGTAACACAGGACCTTCCTAGAGCCAGAAATCACAGCTGCATGGATAACGGGCCTGCAGACCTCCCGTGACTGCACTGCTGTGGTTTGAGCTTGGTGGGGTACCCAGCTCCAACCCCTCTTGCTTTGCCATGGTGATGTTTTGCGCCCTGTGTGAAATGGAGGCGCCGGGGGGAAGAGGAAATGGCCAAGGAATTTCATGGCTTCTCAAGATGGAAACTCAGATACCTAACTTTATAACTTTGAGCTGCTGAGCATGCTTTCCCTAGAAAGAGGACTAAATCAAATGCAAAGATCTTTGATTGCTTCTTGCAGAAAATGGGGATTTAAAAAATTATCTCGGGCCGGGCGCGGTGGCTCAAGCCTGTAATCCCAGCACTTTGGGAGGCCGAGGCAGATGGATCACGAGGTCAAGAGATCGAGACCATCCTGGTCAACATG